GGCTGTTTTACAACATGAGTGTGTTAACTCGGTGCTAAGCTCCAGGCTAGCTTTAAAGGTAAGTTAACATTTGAGGTGATCAGATTGCAAAGTAATCAAATCTTAAGTGTGGTGTGTAAATAGATGCAGTAACTTAAACGAAGAGGTAAGAGAAGAGTATGTGTAAATTGTCTAACAGAATTTGTCTGCCTCCAGGAGGTGGTAGGCCAGCATCTCCCTTTCCCCTGCCCCCTCTTCTGAATTTTACGTGGCAGAAAGTGAAAGTACACGGGTAGCTCAGGAGCAGGGGGATGCTGGCTAACAAACTGCTGGGCCTTTCACAGTCCCCATTTACATGTGGATCAGAAGGCAAATGAACAGAGCTTGAGCCAATCTAGTCTTTAGGTGCGGCATCGTCACCTATAGTGACCATATCGTCCCCTTCCTGACCCACCCAAAACGCACTCCCACAAAACTGCTCCACCAGCCGCTCTCCAAGCCCGGTCAGTAGCTCCCTGTTGGCATCGTGGCAGTTTTTAGGAGCGTTCTTGTATTCCTTGTTCTTCCCCCTTGTGCCTTTCTCCCGCTGCTCCCTGCTTCCCTGCATGAAGTCCCTGCCTTGTCTTCAGCATTTCTGCTTTCCTGCTTTTCAGAGAGTAGACTCAATTCTGCGAGTCAGCCTCAGTGTGAACAAAATGCAGCGTCGTCCACGTGGCGGCAGTTTCTTGCACCCCATGCTGCCATCTCGTTTTATTGTGTAAATAGGAAGTTTGGGCCAGGTACTTGGTTCCTGTGATGGATCCAGTCTGCGCTGGCCTGGCAACAAACAGCACCGATCTGTGTTACCAAGGAAACCAGCACATTTGAGGAGCTACCTGTTTTTTGTTGGAAGCTGGCTGAGTTAGGTGTAAGTGTCTGAACACAAGTTAATGGAGTTCAGCGAACGTCAAAGCTTGTCGTACGGCAGGCCCCAAAGATGGGAAAAGATGCCTCTGAGCCACGCTTGTAATCTGGATCTAAACGACCTCTGTGACCGTCCCACGAAGAGGACGGTTGGAGGAAATCGCAACGAGGCCTTGATGTGTACTTCCAGCTGGCTATTAGCTCAACCCTTTGATCGCATTTTTAAAAATCTCTGCTCTTGACAGTATAGAGGGCAAGGGGTCTGAATTATTGATGCTGATGTCACTTTAAGTGCAGTGAGAGTCTTATCTGGCTCCGGTGCGCTCTTTGCATCACAGAACAGGAGGGGGCCGCACCTTCGCCTTGTTTCTTCCCAGCAGACCTTGAAGCTGAATTCTGGATCCTTGAACCGCTAAACACTCCGGTCTTTTTTCCTCTGCACCCAACCACTGCTTCATTGTTTGCCTCTGATTCTCGAGACTGAGGGACACCCATTTAACTTGGTACTTAGAAAAGCATCTGTAACTTAAGGTAGTTCTTCAGATAGTTGAGGCAAATTGCAAAATGCTCAAATGTCATTTTAAATGCTGGGATTGGTGTTTTTTGGTGAATATTTCCTAACGATCCTAGGATTAACCTTGCTACACATTGTTCAACACTTCTCTTGTTTCCAGAGGAGAATGTAGCCCCCTCTGCACTTTTCCTTGCATTTACGCCCCCTTGCACACCCACCCATACACACGCCAAATTCTTTGAGCAAAATGATGTCTGTCCTTGGGATACATCTGTACGTATCCAGCCCCTGGCTTCTTCACTTTTCATCCCATCCAGGAAGAGCACACACCAACTGCTGCAGCTTCCTGAGCCTGACGAAGGGTTTTTGAACCCGAAAGCTTGCTTAACAACTATTCTCCAACCATTTGGGTTGGTCTAATAAAAGATATCAAATTCACCCAAGGAACCTTGTCTGCCTATATCCAGGCTAGAGTAATTTCCAAGGACTCAAAAGTTAAGCTTGTGTTGTCTAATGATTGATGTTAAATGAGGAGTGAAAACCTCTCTTACTGTGGCACTGCCCTATTCTGTCCATATTGCAAGCAGCAGCTCAGCCGGCACTGGTGGAAAACGAGGTGCGAAAATTTTAAAGCAAAGCTGGATCATGGCCACTTCCCCCTGCTAAAGTAGAGCAGGAGAAACTGAGATGCAGCGATCGCTCTTCAAAAGATCAAGGCCTGGCCTTGAATTTGAATCTCTCGACTGCGCATCCCCTTGGCCCAGTTCCTCGGGTAGTCCATGAGCTGCTGGACGTAACTCGGTGCTTGCTAGTTCTGCTCTTTTTGAATGAAGAACCACTGTCATCACAGGTCTCGCTTCGAGAGGGTGTCCAGTCTAACCTGCTAAGGGGGCCAGATTTTTCAGAAGGGCGGCTAGGCCCTTTTAGTGGGTTGAGCACCTAAAACCACTCGTCCAAGGATTCTCATCCAGAGTGCCACAGCATCCTGGGGTGCCTTGGCCTGGCCTTGAAAGGACTTTTTGGGTAGATGTGATGCATCTTTTATTAGACCACCTGAGCAGCGCGGAAAAAAGTTCAGACGCAGTCACCCTTCGTCAGGCATAGAGGGAGTCTCTGCTGGCCTTGATGCTTTCAAAGGTGCCATGCCATGCTAGCGCTGTTAGGTTTGCAGATCTGATCCACAAGATCCACCCAGAGATTCCAAATAGTTGTGCTCCTTCCAAATGCTTTGCAACTGCAAAACTGCTCTTGGAATTTCATAGATTTCATAGACATCAGGGCTGGAAGGGACCTCGGAAGATCATCGAGTCCAGCCCCCCGCCCAAAGGGCAGGAAGTCAGCTGGGGTCATAGGATCCCAGCAAGATAAGCATCCAGTTTCATCTTGAAGGTGTTCTTGAAGGCGCTTGAACCACCTCCGGTGGCAGGCTGTTCCAGACCCTGGGGGCTCGGACAGTAAAGAAGTTCTTCCTTATGTCCAGCCTGAAACGATCTTGAAGTAGTTTGTGACCATTCGACCTCGTCATCCCTTGGGGCGCTCTGGTGAACAAACATTTCCCCAGATACTGGTGGTCACCCCTGATAAACTTGTAGGTGGCCATCAGATCACCCCGAGCCTGCGCTTTTTCAGGCTAAAGAGCCCCAGGGCTCTCAGCCAGCCCTCGTAGGGTCTGCTTCCCTGACCTCTGAGCATGCGCGTGGCTCTTCTCTGGACTCTCTCAAGCTTCTCCACATCCTTTTTGAATTGTGGAGCCCAAAACTGGACACAGTACTCCAGCTGCGGCCTCACTAAGGCCGAGTACAGGGGGAGAATGACGTCCCGGGATTTGCTTGAGAAGCATCTATGGAATTGCAGACAATGAGGGTGGAAGGGAGCTCAGGAGGTCGCATCCAGTCCAACCCCCTGCTCCAAGCAGGACCAGCCCCAACTACATCATCCCAGACAAGGCTTTGTCTAGCTGGGGCTTCAAAACCTCCAAGGATGAAGACTTCACCACCTCTCTGGGTAACCTGTTCCAGCACTTTACTACCCTCCTAGTGAGAGGTTTTTTTCCTGATATCTAACTTAAATTTCCCTTGCTGCAACTTGCCTTCCTGGAGTTAAAAAGAGAGAAAACTAAGAGCCGGCATTTTCCAAGGGGTGCTGCTAGTCTATCCAGGGGTGCCACAGGTAGGAAAGAGTTGAGAACCACTGCGTAGTTCCTCTGAGAAGACCTGGCCTATAGCTTACATTGAATATTCTTCCTTTTCATCTATGAACCCTTACTAGCACTGGAACTTAAAAGCACTTTTCACAGTTTTCCTTCTTGCCCTTTCACCAAGATAGTGTAAAAAATGGTAGCATTTTATACCTGATCACTTTAAACCCTGCAACGCACCTGTTCAGTTCTGCAGTTCTGACCTGGGAATCTCGGCTTCTATGACGATTGCAGTAGTACGGAAGAATCAGGCATATTAACTTCCTAGTTTGCTGTTTTAATTTCTAATTTTAACGTGGATTTTAGTTTGCATTTCACGCAGCTTGGATGTTTTACCGCTGTAATCCAGGCTTGCTTTCCCAGTTCTGCGTTTGTGGTTCAAACTGCAGCGGGAATGGTTGCCAGTCAGAACTTCTTATTTTAAAGGTGTAGAAATCTAATCTAGGTGTAGAGATACCTGCCAGCTTCTACGTTTGCTCAATTTACGTGTCTGCGTTTTAAAAAAGGGCTCCTGTCTTGCACAAGGACCAGGTTGTCCGGTTTTTGTTTGAGGTGTACAATCTGAAATGCAGCTCTGCCCAGCAACAAACTGAATCGAGCAGGGCGAAGAGCTGAGCAAGCGTTTGCCTGCCACACCTTGGCTCCATGCTTGTATATGAATCAGCTTTAAAAGCGCAATGGGCTGGAGACTTTCCAGACACAGGGAGGAGGCACAAATGGCCTACTTAGGGGAGCCGGACTGCAGATCTCTGGACTGCCGCCTTTGCAGAGCTCACTCAGGTGGTCGTCACCTGGGAGGGATGGGTAGGAGCAAGCCAGCTTTGACCTAGGCCTGCCTGGGTTAGCGTATTTTCCCCTGTGCATGGTCTCAAACCCCTCCTTGTCCTTTGTGCTGCTTTGAAAATTGTTGGAAACCTGATCTTTCCTTGGGAGGCAATTGGGGGCTGGGACCGGTGGAGCCTGGGCAAGGGGGAAGCCAGGATAGGAGCCCGAGTTGGCTCTGGAGCGAAGGCATACAGGCCGTCTCCCTCCAGCAGTGGAAGCACCAGGAATTTAGCTGCCCTCTCCCTTGGCAGTGGAGGGGAAAAAAAGAGCCAGGCCACCAGCCCTTCTCCATTGCTGCTGGGCAACCGCCTTGTGCAAAGGGGGTGACATTGCCCCAGGCAGCACCCACCAGGAGTGAGGCTCCTGAGAAGGGAGCAAACAGGCGTGTGCGGCCCCTTTAAGTTCCAGTGAGGGCGGAAAGCCGCTCTGAAGCCATGGGGGGCGGGGCTTCGGCCCTTCCTCTTGCTCTCGCGATATCAAGCGCCTCCCGCACGGCATCAGCCCTTTCCGGAGAGACGCGGCCAAGATGGTGGGTGCGAGC